GGGCTGTCTGGACATCCCATGCCGAAGCCAAGTTTGGGCAGTGTGAGAAGCTTGCATAAAGTCAGGCCCAGCATGCCAGAGTTTGGTTACTCCCGCTCTGTGCCCAGCAAGGCTTTCCCCAGGGGTTCCACACGTCTGAAAATGGAAAAAGCACTAAACCCTTAACCAGCTACCCTTTCTTCAACTTTCTTCCATGTTCCACACTCACAAATAGCATAAGAAGTCTTTTTTCTTCTGAGAACAGTCTGAAAATGGTTAACACAGATTGCTGGTTAGCGTTAGCCACAGGGAGGGAAAATGTAAGATATTAATGTCACTTTTTTACCCAGCAGTGTGAGCATTTGAGAGTAATAATAAACTCTTATTTGCAGGGTCAAACGCCACAATATGTACATATCCCTAAAGAGTACTTGCAAAAAAGGCAGTAACAGCTCAAAATAGACTGTCTCAGAATGGCTAAAAAATAATAAGCTTCTTGCCTTTAAAATTAACAACAAAGAAGCAGCATTTTGTGTGTAGGCCTTCACTGGGCCAACAGGGCTGCAGTAAAACATGCTCAGGACCTGGTTCTTGTCCTCACAGTTGCTTCCAACACAGCGGCAAGGCAGGGCCACACGAGGCAGTGACAAGAGCAAAATCTGACTGAAGAGGTAACACCAGAGAAATTCAGAATTTTAAATCTGGAAAGAACTTTTGTGGCCCTTGAACTCCAGCTAGCCTGGTCCTCAGTGTTCAGTAACTTGCCCAAGGTCACACAAGGTGAAGCAGGAAATGCCACAGGAATCTTCCAGTAGAAGGCTGTTAAGGTTTGGGGATTGCTATAGAGTACACTGGCCTTGAGTCCGGGAGTCCTGCGTTTCAGCCCCAGCTCTGATGCTGCATGACCTTGGACACGTCCCAGAGCTCACAGGAATCACGTTCCTCTGCAAGTAGAAGTGGCAGCACTTATTCACGGTGTCGTTGCAGGGATTCAATGAGATATGTAGGTAACAGAACTTTGTAAATGTAAAATGGCATTAAATGAAACTCATCAAGCAGTAATATGGGTAAGAAATGCTATACAATGATTGCGAAATTTCAGAAAGCCAGTTGGTATCCAAACTGATAAACAGCTCCATCTTTGCAGCACGAAATAATTGCCCCAGAGTAATAATAACACCGGATACTTATGTAGACCTTTGCTTTCGTGGTTACCAGGTGCTTTTAATACAGCCATCTGCACTGATTCTCACCGAGGAAACTAATGAGGAACAAAACAGCCAGCAACATCCCCAAGGTCACCAAGTTAAAGAACGGCAGGGCTGGGCTTCCAATGCTAAATGAGGCATTCTGTCGAGAAACCGTGTTACCTCTGCAAAAGAAACTGCCTAGTCTGGGCAGACTGGTACGGAGAAGTGGCTGCCCCTTGTTGACAGACTCGTCAGGACCCAGGACGGTGGCTGGGCTGGTTTGCGACATCACAGGGAGAGGTGCCGAGGGTGCCGCCGCTCGCCCAGCCTGCAAGCCTGCCTTCCTCCTTCTGGGCCCGGCCCTCCCACGGCGTTGGAGCTGGAGACACTGCTCTGCTGCACGCTCCGGCAGCAGGAAGTGAGGCTCGACACAGCCACGTGGTGTCCCCTGCCTCAGATCCTCCTTCCGCCTGTCAACACCTCCTGTCAATCAGCACAGCAGTATAAACCCTGAGCCCCACCCAACCCCTCGTCCCAAGTCCCAATGGAACCGCACAGAGAAGCAATAATTCTGTCCTGGCGGAGGGGTAGGGTTCAGGGCACCACGTCTCTGATAGAACACGGGGAAAGAGAAGTCAAGTGTCCAGACGTTTTATATACGTGGTACCAAGAATACGCACATGAGAAACTATTCAGCTGAATTCTTAAATTCGGTTTTTTATCGGAATATTTTCTCACTGTAAAGAGAGCAACAAAGACACAAAGGAAGCCTCTCTGCTCCCCCATTTCCCCCTGTTAAAATCTCAGAGTTATGTCCAGATGCCCCTTTGGCCTTATTCATCAAGTGCTTTAAGGTATTCACACTCATTGACCCAGTGGTTCCCTTTATAAGAATCATTAGCAGAAATTCAGACAGAGATACATGTCTGGAGATATCCATCACTTAAATCTCAGTGTTCACAACAAGAAGGAAACGTGCCCGAGTGTTAACAGTGATGGCTTCTAGGCAATGGGATTATGCTAGAACTTTTTTTTCTCTTTCTTTACCTGTTTCTGTAATTTCCAAAATCAGCTATAATGAGAAACACTCCAAGTATAAATCAACGGATGAAGAGATAAACAAAATGTGGTGCACACATACAGTGAAACAGCCTTCTGCCTGTTAAGGGAAGGGGATTCTGACACGTCCTACAACATGGCTGACCCCTGAAACCATTGTGCTCAGTGACATAAGCCAGTCACAAAAATACAAATACTGTATGATCCCACTTACAGGAGGTACCTGGAATAGTCAAATTCATGGAGACAGAAAGTAGAGTGGGGGTTGCCAGGGGCTGGAGGGATGGGCATGGGGAGTTAGTGTTTAATGGGGCCAGAGTTTCAGTTTGGGAAGCTGAAGAAGGTTCTAGAGATGTGTGGTGGTGATGGCTGCACAACAGCATGAATGTGTTTAATGCCATTGACCTGTACACTTAAAAATGGTAAGTTCTATGTTATGTATATTTTACCAAAATAAAAAATAATTGAAGAAAAAATACCTGTAAGTACATATTTTACTCTGGGAGAAAAAAATAAAATTAAAGGGAAATTAAATTGCTATTCTGGTTTTGACTAGATACTCTCCTTTCCAGCACTCACTGCCTCAAGCCAAAGAGAGATGTTCAGACTCCAATCTCAGGTGTGTGGAAGAGGCTCTTATTTAGGAAGAGTTAAACCTCAGTGTTTCTTTTTAATGAGTTGCTTTATGTTTTATAGTAAGTTTTTATTATTGTTGTTTTTGTTTTTTGAGACAGAGTCTTACTCTGTTGCCCAGGCTAGAGTGTCTTTATTGTAGCTCACTGCAACCTCAAACTCCTGGGCTCAAGGGATCCTCCTGCCTCAGCCTCTCAAGTAGTTGGGACAACTGTGTGCCACCTCACCCAGATAATTTTTCTATTTTTTAGTAGAGATGGGGTCTTGCTTGCTCTTGCTCAGGCTGGTCTCAAACTCTTGGGCTCAAGTGATCCTCCCACCTTAGCCTCCCAGAGTGCTAGGATTACAAGTGAGAGCCTCTAAGCCTGGCCTAAACTAAGTATTTTTTAAAAAGGAAATTCTAAATGTAAACTCAATGCTTAAGGGGTATAAATATACTTGCTCAGACCTTTTTTCTCATAATCACAAGAAAGAGAAATTGAGGATAGCATTATATTACCTGTAAATTTCCTGTATTGCCTCACATTCGTTCCTTTCAAATGGGTGATAATACTTGGCAAAATAACGTCACACACCTTCCTGTTTGATGATCTACAAACTCATGACTGGATGCATATGCATTTTTTCTAAATCTACCATGGTTAGAGAAGCTGTTGTTTAAAAACAAACAGAAGAGTCATGGCAACATGGTTCAACTACTTTTCACAGGTACAAACCAAAAAGGTAAGATAAAATGACTCCCAGTTGAAGTATGATGTACTTGTATCCATGTATTAATCAATCATTAAGTATTGAGTGCTCACTCCAAGTTCAATGCAATTTGTTTTTTTAAAAAGTGATAGGGTCTCACTCTATCGCCTAGGCTAGAGTGCAGTGGCCCAATCATAGCTCCCTGTAACCTTGCATTCCTGGGCTCAAGCTCCCGTCTCAACCTCCCAAATAGGCTGGGACTACAGGGGCATGCCACCACAGCCAGCTACTTTTATTTGGGGGGGTGGGGGGTGGGATTAAAAACAGGGTCTCACTATGTTGCCCAGACTGGTCTTGAACTCCTGCCCTCAAGCAATCCTCCTGCCTCTGCCTCCTAAAATGCTGGGATTACAGGCATGAGCCATTATACCTGGCCTACAGATATTTTATTACAGTAAAATATACATAAACCTAAAGTTTACCATTTTAATCATGTTTAAGTGTGCAGTTCAGTGGCACTAATTGCTGTGCAACCATCACCATCATCCATCTCCAGAACTTTTTCGTCTTCCCAAACTAGAACTCCACCCATTAAACAATTCCCCATACCCTCAACTCCCCATACTCTCAACTCACTGCTCTATTTTCTGTCTTTATGGATTTGACTACTCTAGGTACCTGTTATAAGTAGAATCATGCAATGTCTGGGCTTTTTTGTGACTGGCTTATTTCACTTAGCATAATGTCTTCAATGTTCATCCATATTCTAGCATATGGTGAGATTTCTTTCCTTTTCAAAGCTCAATCATAGTCCAGTGTATGTATACACTACATTTTGCTTATTCACTAATCTGTCCATGGGCAGTTGGGTTGTTTCCACCTTTTAGCTATTGTGAATAACGCTACTATTAACCTGGATGTACCAATATTCAACGCAAATTTTAAGAATTGATGAACCCTATGTGTCCAGGAAAATAAGTAGATGACCACTGTCTCACTAATACCAGGAAATCACTCAATTCATGGAATCAGAAAACGTTAGAGCAGGAAACAATTATAAAATCATCATCTATATTTATTTATAGACAAGGAAACAGACATGAAGTGACTTAACTAGGATGGTTTGTATTATTAAATGTTCAGTTCCTGCATTTGGGGAGGAGGGGCTGTTGGAAAGAAACCCCTCTCCCAGGCAATTATCCACCCAACTTGTCATGCCACATACCTCAAATTCCCCACACCAGAGATTTATTTACTTAGATGAAGACACTGGTAATTTTACCAGGAATCTCCTAGTAAAATAAAAATAGCTCCAAGGGAAAGTCATTGTTGTCCCACAACTCTTTGTCTTGAAAGACTGGTTTTCCACAGAACAATAAGCTTAGAGTGGGGTTCCTAGAGAAAAGGAAGACACAAGGAGCTCCGCGAGGAGGCCGAGGAGGCCGAGGAGGCCGTGTCTCCAGGAATGTCCAGCAGATGCCCCACAGGGAGACAATGGCCTCTTGAGGAGCTCCAGGCATCCAAGGGCAGTGAATACCAGTGCTCAGATGCCAAGACCCTGAAAAGTCAAGTTAGAAGAGGCGAAAGGCCGCCGCGGGCAGCACTGCCGTGTGTACCTTGTGCAAAGTATAGGACTTCCCTGAGTGACTTGGGCCGTGACTCAGTTCTGGATCTTCAAGACGTATTTTGCTAGGCTTTCTCAGCCATATAAGGAAAAGGTTTTTCTTCCATTTAGCAAGAATGGAAAATGCCCAAACTGAGGAAGTCATTTTGTTTGAACAGGTTTCAGTCTCCAGCGCCAAAACGTATTCCACGATGGCGGAGGGAGCGGTCAGTAAGACTCAGTGCTCTAAGACCAGGGCTCCACAGTCACACAGCTCACCTGCACCGCACCCAACACTCCCGTCAGAACGGCTTTCTGTAAACACAGCAGCCATGCTGTTCCTCCATAACAAGGTCGATTCTGGAGGGGAGTGTTGTTTCTACCCTCACTTCCAACGCTGTGAAGTGGTTCCACCTGGGCCCGAGGAAGAACAACAAGGTCTGAAAAGAGAATTATGGTGGCCCAAGGAAAACATGCACCCACAAGTACATTTGACAGTAACCACAAAGGTAGGGCCTTTTGCAACCCCCAAAATCAAGGCTAACGAGACCAGAAACCCTTCTGTTTGTTAAAATAATAATAATGACAGTATACAACAAACTAATTGGACCATAAGACATGAGATTTACTGTTACATCTGCAAAGGAGTCAGGATGATGTGGAAATCGTGTAATTAAAACAAAGCCAGATATCACAGAAACTAACACATTGACTGCCACATTAGAAAAAAAAAATTTTTTTTTTCCTTGGGGCCACGGTGTTTTATTACAAAAATAGAAGAAAAACTTCTAAAACAAAATGATCTTTTCTAATTTAAAGAAGCATTTGTAATTTTTTATTGTTTCTGTGCATGAATTATATGCAACTTGAAAAATAGTTTGTTCATGCAGCTCCCAAGGTGAAGAGACATGTGGGTTACATATGCTTCATGAGGCCCCTGGCTCAAAACTAGTGTGAATTAAATACAACTCACATGGCAGTTAATGTGTTAAGGAAGTTTACACATATTTGCTATAGAGTTAATGAAACTAGGAATCTACCGTGCTCTGGTGAGAACCCAGAAGGCAGGTCCTGCCGTTGTGGTGTGTATAGTATCTCATAAGTATTGTCCACAGTAAAAAAATAAGTTCACACCAAAGTAACCTAAACAATAAAAATAAAATAGTAACATTAATCCAATTCCCATTGTGGTGCTGTTTGGTTTACTTCACTGGCAAGTGAATTGAGTCAACATCTGTTTTATTTATCCTCTCCCATGTCCCAGGAGGCCGAGCTCACATTACCTATTAAAACTCTCCCCTGAGCTTAGCCTCTGTCTCATGCGGCCTAAGCAAGCACACGGGACTGTTTTGAGCTAACCCTAACTGACAGAGACCAAAGCACATCCATTTTTATGGATCTTATTGCGGTGTTGATAGCCCCAAGCACTGGGTTGGGACTGTCAGAATCCTCTCCAGCACTTGTAAGCTCGGTTTTATCTTTCTATTAAAAAACAAATATACGCACGAAACACATGACATTCGTACACACTTGTTAGAAAGGGCGGTAGCGGGAAGCATGATCGGTTTGGCAGATGTTCTTCCAGCGCCTTTTCTGAGCATTTGCACGCACGTCTTCTGCCCTGTTTTGCAGCCAGTGTTTTTGTTTCACAAATATGGCTCAGATCTTAGGTCTTCCGCAGGCTCCTGTGGGCTTCTTAGCAGGGGTGTGAGAGAGGGTTTGGCCTCCACAGTGCCCTTCCAGAACCTGTCCCTTCAGCCATTCTCTCCATCAAACCCTTCTTGCTTGAGGAAAAGCCACATCAATACAAAGGGATGCCTGTCGCTATGACAACGCCGTGCCGGAGGGGCGCTCCAGCCACACCAGAAACCACAGCGGGACCAGAGGCCCAAATAAAGGTCGCAAGTGCAAGAAGGCAGCACGTCTAGGACACCAAAAGAGGGTGGGGTGGGTCAAGTTGGAGGACAGAGCCCAGGGTGTGGTGTGGGGGCTGAGCTGTCAGATTTAAAGGGTCCGGGACGGGACAGACAGGAGCACGGGACACTAGGAGCTGGGAGAGGGACACCAGAGCAGCGCAGCAGGAAAGTGAGGGAAGACGCCAGAGCGGTGCAGAATCCACTGCACCTGCCCCCGTGTGCCTGGGGGAGGGAGAGCCGCCAGGAGTCCCCTCACCCGTCACCCGTCACCCACGGCGAGAAGGAGGTGCCTGGGGAAGGCGGGCCCAGAAGCAGGATTGGAGAGATGGCTGAAATGAGTAGTTGGGCAAGGAAGACAACGGTGCGTTTTTCCCTGTCCTTTCTGCTCCCTGCCGTTGTGTACTACGAGTGCATGTGAGAAGGAGCATCGAGGCGAGAAAACAGGTTACTGGTTCCTCCCTCACCCCACCTTTCTTCGGTTAGCATCCTTGCGAATTCTCTTATCCCCCCGGGATATATGCTTCCTCGGGGAAGACCACCTGTCTTTGCCGCCTCTGGAGGGCTTCGCAGAGAACTCCGAGGGGACTGCAGGTTTGGCAAAACAGCCAGCTCCTTCGTTCTCGCCTGCAGTAAGTGTCCGCCTGCAGCGATGTCCCCACGGCTGAGGCCCTGAAGCCCCCAAGCGCCCCAGGCGAGCCCCAGGCTGCTGGAGGGAAACAGCAATGATCAGCGTGGTGGAACCCAACGTGCCCTTGTAACAGCTGAGTCACGGGGAGGAGGGGCAAAAGAGAAAGATGGGAAAGGCTGCACAGGGACAGAAACAGGAAGTTAGGGGCTGTCTCCACCGAAAGCCCAAACAAGATATAGGTGGAGCTTATGCCTTCGGGGAGAAGAGAATGAGGAATAAAATCCCCAAAGCTTAGCAGTATTAGAAGCTGCATAAAAACATTTGGAAACACCATGACTCCTTTTTGGCATGGGAGCAAATATGAAAGTCAATAGATTAAATGAAGATCTTCAGTGTCAAGATGAAGATGCCAGTCTGGAAGAAGCCTTCGTGGGCATCTCCAGAGACACGTGGCGCCAGGTTGGCCAGGAGTCCCATCTGACCTGCAGGGCTCACTGGCCAGAGCAGCAAGAATGTCCGTCCCAGCCGCAGGCCTGAGACAGTAAAAGTTGGGGAGAGGATGAAATCAGGACACCAGTCCAGGAAAAAGCAGGCCCTGGCAGGGGTAGGGGCTAGGGTCTCTGAGAACTTTACTCCACCACACGCTGTCCAAAAAACAACAGCAATACAAGTTTCTCAAAACCAAGTAAACACAGGCCAGGAACAGTGGCTCACACCTATAATCCTAGCACTCCGGGAGGCCGAGGTGGGAGGATAGCTTGAGCCCAGGAGTTTGAGGTTGCAGTGAGCTATGATGTTGCCACTGTATCGTAGCCCAGGCTACAGAGTGAGACCCTGTCTCAAAAAACAAAAACAAAAATAAGTAAACACAAAGGAGGGGAAGTTAGTATTAATAGGAATAAAGTCAACTCCACTGCCTGCCCTTTTGGAAATGCATTTGAAGAGTGGATCAAAGAAGGGTCCCTTGTGGCTTCACAGTACACAGGGACTAGCAGATGGTCCCCTCAAGTTCCGGGACATCTTGTCCCTTCCGGCACTTCTGCCAGTGCTGCAGTGGAAGGGGATCGTCTTGTGGGGCAGGGCTAGAGTCTCTGGGCAGCAAAATGCCTGTGTGCAACACTATATTGTGTTGTAATGCCAACGTTACTGTGTCTAGTTGCATTTATTATAATACAATAAGTCTGTCTTCTTTCACTGTGTTGTCTTCATTCTGCCACAAACTTTTCCCCTCTTGCTTTCATCACCGTGAGGTCCACAACCTGAATGCCAGCCTTCTGAGGCCATGCTGCTGGCTCTAGTTTTGAGCAAGGAAATATGACTTGGAACCAAATCCTTTTTGAGCAGCTGGGGATCAGAATTAGTGGGAAGTGGCTTCGGAAGGGATGAGTGCAGCCAGAAGAGAGAGTGGAAGGATGGGAATGAGAAGGGCAAAAGAACATGCATTTAATTGGATTTACTTTGATTAATTTTTTGATTACTGTTTTATTTACATGTGCGCTACTGACCCGTACTTCCCCTCAGTGGTAAGAACCAAACATCTCCCACCCCACATTACTTAAGGCATTACGCCACTTCAATCTTAGCACCACAGCTATGGAAAGGCAATCGAGTTCACGCCTAAGGGTGGCATTTAAAAAGAATCAATAAGCAATCTAAAAAGCTAAATTTTAGCAATATTAATTCCTAATGTTCAGCTCTTAAATCCAGGAATTTGATTTTTAAAGGTTTCATAATTATTTCCCCCAAATCAGGCTGAGTGAAAACTGCTTTTGTCTAAAATGGTTTTGCAGATGGCGACTGTGAAGCGACTGTTTTGTTCCAGTTTACGCTGTGCGGTTTCACTGAAAGGCGGACGGATAAAAGTCAGCCAGGCGGGTTTCTGGACATTACCCTGTCCTCCAGGGGACAGGCCTCCAGGGACAGCGGTACCTCTGGGCCGTCCTGGCAGGGCCACTCTGGCTCCCTGCCTCCCAGGAAGGTTGGCCAGCGTTTGTAGCCAGGGCGGCAGAGGTGGCCCTGTACTTTAGGAGAATGGCTATCTCCTGCTTCTGCCAGGGGGGACCCAAGGGGACCCTCACGTTTTCCTGGAGTCACAGGAGAGGGGACTCTTATCTTCAAGCATCTCTCTCACCTCTGCCTTCCTTGTTCACTCGTATCCAGCAGGCTCTGGTGTCAGGGCTGTGCTCTGCCATGCTCTGGGAATACCAAGATGAGTTACCCCAGGCCTTCAGGCCCATGGACATGGGGCAATTGTTCAAGAAGATGGTTACAACCCAATGTAGAAAGTGCTGGACCCAAGAGCAGCCCAGGCTCCATGTGAGCACAACAGAGCAGAGCCTAAGCCAAGCTAGGCTGGAGGAGTCAGAGCCAGGGAAGACTGCCTGGACAAGGCGACCCTAACACCTACATCCATTCGACTAGTACTGACCGAGTGATTTCTATGTGCCCACCACTGCTCTGAGTGCTGAGATATGAAGTCTTCCTCACTAGAAACTCACATTCCAGGGGAAGAGACCTGCTTATGGGTAAAGGAAAGTGACAGAGAGTGACTCAGTGGCCAGGGAGGCCTGATGAGGCGATTTTTAATCGGAGACCCTAATGATAAGACGAAGGGAAGGGCTTTCCAAGCAGAGGAAATGGTCTGAGCCAAGGGCAACCTTGATGTACCACTGAAGCAGGAGGTAAAAAAGACCATCGTGGCTAGAATTCAAATGAACCCAGGCAGTGTGACATGGTTGAGGTCAGAGGGGAAAGCAAGAGACACACAGGTTTTATTGTCTGCATCAAGGGAAATCCAGAGAGTGACAAAATCAGGCCTATGGTTTTAAGTGACCATCCCAGATGCTTGGTCAGGCCAGGGAGCGGGGAGAAGGGAAAGTGTTTGAAGGAAGCAGCATGTGCAAAGGCCCTGGGACAGGTGACCCATTGGAGGGTGGGGTGTCCAAGGCTGTTCCACATGCCAGCTGCAGAGCACCAGGTGGGACACAGAGAGGCGAGGCCAGAGACTCGCACCAGAGATTGGCCGGCAAGGTTCTCACATGCCGCTCCACGCTCGCCACACCGTGCACGGTGGCGTCATCTTGCAGGACGCGGGGAACCACTGGAGGCCTGCAGGCAGGACTGACACGACTGCGCTTTACTAAGCTCAGTGGCTTTGGATTGTGGGTGATATTGAGGTGCTGGAGTCCCCACATAACAAGGACCCAGTGTGTGGAATAAATTCTATCAGTAAAGACCCAAAAATCCACACTGTTTTTCTGAGTTACTGAAATGTATTAACATTCTTCACATTCTCACACATGAAACAATGGTTTTCTCATTCCCCAAAGCTCAGTGGGTAAAGGAGAGAATTTGATTATTCCAACTTAAGGCATGTGGATATAAAATATGGATTTACTCCAGAAATCCACTAGACCTTTAAACAGAGATGCAGCATTTCATAAGGATGCGGGTTCTTGAGCCCACGGGGCAGCGCACCTTGCTAGCTGCGTGATGGGGGTCAAGCTGCTCACCTCTCGGGCCTCAGTTTTCCTGCCTGTGAAATGGGAGACAATACAAGACCCACCTTATGGGGCTGTTGTAAGGCTTAAATAAGTTAATACAAGTAGCTAGACCGGAGCACGGCGCAGAGTAAACACCTAACACTCGAGTGCCATCGTTGCTCTGCTGCTCTGATGACTTTCCTGCCGGGCTTCACACGGCTGGTCACTCGCTTCCTCCTTAACACTCTCTGCCTTCCTTTGGCCCCAGTGACTCCGGGCCACTCTGGCTTGCTTTCTTTGATCCTTTCTGGATTGTTTTACTGCTTCCTCTTCATCTGCTCACCTTCTAGGGGTTCCTCGATCTCTTCCACAGCTATTTCCTCTGTATGGACGAATCCCACGCCACTCTCTGGGGTTCCAGCCTCCCCGCTGGGCTTGGCGCCCGCGTTTCCAACCTTGCTGCCCAGCCCTGCTGTCGTGTGGGCCTCTCAGACGCAATGGGGTCAAATCGCTCACCATCTTCCCCAGCCGTTTCTGTCTTCTCCAGTTCTCCGTGACAGTGCAGCCACCCGACCACTCAGACTGGAGTCCTCAGTGACTCTCCTCTCTTCTCTCTCCCAAGTTCTCCACGTCCCACTGATCAGCAAAGCCCGGGCTATGTTATTCCCTCCACGCCTTGGGAACATGTCCTCTCCTTTCCTTTCCTTGGCTACCATCCTTGTCACAGCTGCCACTCACCTTGACCGCTGCACCTGCCTCGCAATGGTCTCCTTGCCTCTGACACTTACTTATTGTCTCTACTTGCCCTCCTCAGGTCCCGAGTGCCATCTCTAAACTGGCTTCGTGCTGCTCAGAGTAAAGAGAGACCATTAGGATTGAATGTTCCCAAGCCCCTACCCCACCGAGCCTGCTCCCCCCACCGCCTCTCTGTGTCCCCACGTCCTCCCAGTGCAGCCTGAGCCTCACCTGCGCTCCTCTCCGCACCCTTCCACCTCTACTCCAGATTCTACTTCCTCTCGTCTGGACCTTTCCCTCTTCTGTACAACCTCCAAGGTCCGATTCCCACGGTCAGTACCCAGGTCACTGCCAGAAACTAAGGGATTCTCACCAGGGCTAAAAAGCGTGCACCAGCTACCGATGCTAGTCTGCCTCCGGCTCTCCCTCCAGCACGTAAGCACAACCGGGGATCACCACGCATGTGAGAACAATCAGGAGAGCACTGACGAAATAGGCCCAGGAGAAATAAGCACCACAGGAGAGAGATGAGAACATGAAATTAAGTATAATTGGTGTCTCGAGAGAGACGTGCGAGGATGCCAAGCCCATGGACGACTGGCTGCTCAGGAAGAGAAGCTGTCAGAGTGATCGGAAATTGAAGACATAATTACTAAGGGAGACTCAGCTGATGGGATAAACCACAGAAGGTTGCCCTTGAAGAATGAACCCATCGAATGGAAGACTGCGCTAAATCTCCCCCCAAAAAGTTCAAAAGATCAAAGAGATTTAAAATGTAAGCTAAAAATTAACAGGCTTGGAAGAAAGATCCGGGAGTTACAGCAGCTGTTTTGTAGGGATTCCAGAGGGCAGGACAGAGGACTCAGGACAGGAATAAAGAGATTATGGAAGAATATTTCCCAGTGCTGAAGAAAGATTCGAGTCTTTGTAACAAAAAGGCTCAGTAACTATTGTGCAGAAATAATGAAAAAGTCGCTATAAATATGTGGTAAAAGTTTAAGACTCCAAAGATAAAGGGAGTATTGTTAAACTTCAGACGTGGGAGGACAAATTATCTTTAAAATAATGAAATCAGTTTTGCGTTAGATGTCTCATCAACAACGGAAGGTGCTGCGAGACAGTGGAGGAACGTCTTGCAAATTCTAAGGGTTATTCTAAAATTGGAATTTTATACCCAGGCAAATTAGCACTGAAGTGACACAGGCAAATAAACCCTGTCAGACATACAAACACTTAGAAAAGTTACCACTGAAAAATTTTTTTAGAAAAAATTATCTGATAAATACACTTCAGCAAAACAAAATATGAAGCCAAGAGAGATAAAAATACAGAATTCAAGAAAAGTGGCAATAGTAAGACCTAAGGTAAAATCTAAATATGTACTGTCCAAAATGGTGGACAATAGCTACGTGTTATTTAGCACATGAAATGTGATTATTCTGAATTGAGGTGTGCCGGGAGTATAAAATATAT